ATCTGGAAATTAAAATGCTGCATAATTAAAGACTTTATCCTAATTAACATTAAAATTAACGTGAACAGTAATTAAGCTACTATGCTTGAGGTTGACAAGAGGTATGAACACCACATAAGTAATCATTGAATAAAATGCTACTTATCATAAACATTAAATTAATTGCAAATGGAAAAAGAACAATACCTTGCATAAACTTGAAAGATTGAAGTTCATTGCATGAAAGGAAATTGTTGAATTGAATACATGAATTAATTTGCTTATTGGAATGATGAAAAACAACCTAATTCTATTGGAATCTGTGCTGAAATTTGAAATCTGGAAGCAGATTGCAGAGAAAATAAAGTTTGAAAATTTGCAGATGTTTGAGTAGAGTTGGCCGTCTGTTCTTTCTTCCAAAAATTTCCTTTTTGTTCTCCTTGTGCTGGCAATAACTTCCACTTTCTGCAGTTACTCAATCATGGGTGGTTTCTTGAGATAATGGGACAACTCACCCATTGACCTGGTCTAATCTCCTTACAGATTTCGCCACCTGTACTCTTATCAGATAAAACCCCCTTTTAACTGCAATCTTCTCCTATTTTTCAGCTCCCATTATCCCTTTCTGTCTCAAGAAGATAATTACTCCATAAAAAATTATTTTTACCTCTCCTCTCTTGCCAACACAAATGCTGATCTGTCATGGGGCCCAGAATCCAAATCTGACATGGCTCAATCTCCTCCAACCAATAAAAAATATTTTTCACGTGGTATTAATTTAAAATTTTGCAATTTATGGTGTAAACACCTATACAGAAACTCATCAATTTTTTAATTCTCTAGTTTCATAATGATTGCTCACTTTAGCCTTCAGATTTCAATTTTAGCACATATCCCAGTAGATTTAGGTTGTTTTCAGCATTCAAGTACCCAAATTAGTTTGTGTAATTGCTTCTTTGATTTCCTTTCATGCAATAAATGTCACGTTTACTCTAATTTGTCTTTCATTCAGTTCATTTTGAATCTATTAACTTAAATTTACGGTAGTGGTAAAGTTCTTGAGATTGTCCAAGGCAGATTAGCAACACATTTTGTAGAAAGGCATCCTTCCCTCTTACAAATCGTCTGGATGGCGCAAAATTCAGTTTTAAACCAATGTTCTTCCAGCCATCCTAACGGATGTTGCCTTTGTGAAAGGAGAGGATCATTGGAAAAATCCTTTTTTTTCTTGTTTTTTAGAAAAGTAAGTAACACGCCTGCATCTAAATTCCGCACGTGCAAAATCACTTGAGGATTTTTGAAAAAATAATATCCTCTCATTTACCTGGCATAAAACATAAGCAAAGTTGAAGAAAAAAATTTAAGCATATATAATATTCTTTTTTAATGAGGTACTGCCTTCCAATATTTTATTACCAGCATCAATGGGGGAGCACTTTCTTCATAAGCAGGAAGAGTCATTAACTAGCAGAGAAAAAGTCTCATATGAATTATTAACAAGACATGGGCAGGAAATTTCTAGTCTAGAATTTATACTTAACCGATGACAAATTAAACTGGTAGTATCCAATGTAATCTTGAAAAGGATATCTTGTTAGTCCATCAATACTTTTGTTTCTTGCAATATTGTCTCCATCAAAGACACCTTCCTTTCAACATCAACAATTTCTAGCTGAACCTGCACATTTCTCAAATCACTCAATCATTCTCAGATCATTTTCCAGGAAATACATTTGATGAATGTTTGGTAACCAAGAAGAAGGGAGAGATGTAAAGAATAAAGGTCTAAGTAACTTTATAAAAAAAAATTTTTAAATCTAAACTTTTTGAAACATGAATTATATTAACATTTCTACTACATAGAAGACTAATTACCTGCTTTTTGATATTCTGTTCTGACAGGTATTCTTCCTCCTCTTAAGCTATTTGAGAAACAACATGAGCAAGAGTCTCCTCAAGAGTTTGGAAGTAACATCATCATTGTCCTCTACTTATGAAACAAAAGAAAATGCTCTTTAAGTTTAAATAATAGTTCTGTTTTATGAAATGCTGGCAGAAAGAAGGGACAGGAAACCAAAAAGAAGATCAATTAGGAGATCATTTCATGGTTAAGAAACCATTACTTGAAATGTGGCACATTTCCAGAAAAGAAATGACTTTAGTATGTTGCAGTATGTAAATAAATGTTTGTCTACAATCTGGCAAAGTCCTCCAATAATTGCTAGGATAAGTCATGAATAGTTGTAAGGTATTTGCATTTTCACAGGGCTGTGAAAAATTAAAGTTTTAGATTGAGCCTAGATGACCTTCATTTTGATAAAATATCAGTATCACAGAAAAAATGAACCTATTTTTCTCATAGGAGGTTGTGGGTACAATCTTTGAGCTAAAATTGACAACTAGTATTAAATTGTAGGTCATGTACTTGCATGAAGTTTCAAGTATAATATAGAGAAGAACAAAATTTTCTACCATACATCACCATCGTTGAAAAATACTATGGTGTTTAGATGAAAGAAAATGATGCAAAAATATAGCAGGTACAACATTTGTTGAGATGTTTGAAGAAAATAGCACAGAAAAACATTTAAAGGACATCACACCTCCTTTGATGCTAACAGCTGTTACACAAAAATTTAAAAAAAAAAAAAGAAAAAACCATTGATCAGTAAAACAAAATTGAAAACTAAAAACCTCTAGGGCTTGAATCGAAGCTTTATTCACAGCTAACTCCACTTAATGGCCTTTGAGCTCTTGCTCGGTAGCATCTTCAAGCTCCAAATTTGCTGCCTCTAGCTCCAACCGAAGGTCTTCTATTTGCTTCTTCAAACCAGCCACTCGTTTCTCATTTCATTTGTTAATTGCAATAAGAAGCAAACTCGTTGTTTGATTGCCAAGAAAATGTAGGAAAAAAAAAACTCTAATCTATTAACCAGCCACTTCTTTTCCAAATAATAAATCAGGAAATCCTCACCTCATAGAACCTGATTCCATTGTACGATTACGTTCTCATTTTATCCAGCATTTTGTCTCGCATTTTCAATATTGAATTTCGTAAAATCAAACTCGCCGTTTGGTTTCCGAGAAATATAAGGAAAGGAAAGAAAACACAATTTAGCAGATCCAGATCGCTTCTCATATTAAACCTAACACCACAGAGTAGCTCAATTCCAAAGAACCTGATCCAAAAGTGCATTCTCCTCATCATTTTTTTGCCAAATTTTCTCGAACTCTTAAAATTATATCAAATACTTCATGCGATTGCAGAAAAGACGTAAAGTAAGAACAGAAAATGTAAACACAAAGTCCTCGAACATTTTCCTCTTTGACTTCGCTGACACAAACACATGATTTCCCTTTCCATCTCTCCGTTTTCTCGAGAAACAAACAGAGTAGCGAGAAGAAACAAAGGTTACGGGCAGTACCTCCTCGAGACTTTCCAGAGGCGAAGCCGCGAATTAGTGTGAGGAGCTGCTTCTTCGTTATTCGCTTCCCGCCATGAGGTTTCCGTTTGGCGCTTTCTCTTCTCTTCTGCTACCGGAAATCGGAGCTTGCAGTTCGGAAGCGGAACCGTTTATATGGCACCAGATTTTTAAATTAAGGTTAAATGCTAAATTTGGTCCCTTAACTTTACTAAATGCACATTTTTGATCTCTTAACAAATTTTTACACTTTTTTGATCCTTCAACTATACGAAATGCATTCCGTTAGTCCTTCTGTTAATTTGGACCGTTAACTCGCTTATGTGGCATTTTTTATAGTTTTTTTGATGACGTGGCAAAAACAAATTAAAAACGTGTCAATGTAAAATTTTTTTTAATTACAACTCATGCCAACTCATATTATTACTATTTATATTTTTAAAAAATAAAATAAAATAATTCTATCGATCTTTTTCCTTTCTTTTTTTCTCTTTCTTCCTCTTCTTTCTTCCTCTTCTTCCTCGGGCCTTTCTTCCTCTTCTTCCTCAAGTCTTCGAACGGAACCCAGCCACTGGGTTCCACCGAACCCAGCAGATCTAGGTTCTATGGAACCCATTTGCTGGGTTCCACCGAACC